ACGTCGTTGTCTTGGGCTGGGATGCGACGTCGAAATTTGCTGTGTGCTAAGCCTGGTGGGCCGCAAACTGGCGTGCTAATTGGGCCAGACCGGATCCGCTCCATCCAGCCCCTCTCGCCTGAAGCCCAGAACGCATGCGCGTGGCACGCCGAAAGGCGTTACTCCCGTAAGCCCCAGCGTGCGCGGCGTGAAAGAAAGACGGCGGCGGGGGCGGTGCGGTGCTGCTCCGACGGCGATCGATGGCTTCCGCGCCTTCCATCATAGGCAGAGGCGTGGATGAAAACGGATCGGATACGAACGGATGTCACTGATATTGTTTTCGTATTTCAGTCCGGATTTGAATTCGAATACGGATAGTATCAACCATGCCGACTGGATATCGACATTGTAAATATACGATTTCAGTATTCGAATACGGATAGTATCGGATGTTGAATATCCGAACTCGGATACGGACAGATCTAAATCCCTTTAAATAGATTCGGTATCGAAAATATCCATACCGTGGCCTCCTCCGATCCGTCCACTGGCTCCGGCCTGCTGCCCATCTCGCATTCGTCTCTCTTCAGCAGCGTCAGTACTCAGTCGTCTCAACGGATGAGTGAACACATATATGCCGGCACCTGCAGGTTTTCTCGTAAGTTTCAAACCCATGGGATTGTATATGTACTCATAACCATTCACTAATCTTGATCCAACCCAAATGAACGTATGATTCATATATGTGCTTTCCATATCCAAAAGATACTAATTAAAGCACTCACAACCTGCTCATCATAGATCGATTTCATTCCATGCCGTGCCGAACATAAAGCCTAGCTACTTCATGAATATTGATCAATGATTAATTAGTTGAGCGAAACCATAAAAACAAAGCTCGATCCCCCTTTCGTCACAGGTATTTCAGGCAAAGTCCTTCCGGACGGTCCATGCTCCAGTCCTGCCTCCCGAGGGAGATCTCTAGGCTCGGCGCGTACATGTCGTCCGTCAGCTGCTCCAGGCTAGCAAGAGATGGGAAAGAGCTCGCTGGGCTTGAGCAGTTTGTAGCGATGGGGTCAAGGTGACCATTTGCCTCTTCTTGAGCCGCCTGATACATTGTCACGATAAAACATTACATGTATATAATATATGTGGACCCATACAATTTAGGCCCCTTTGGAACGCGTGATTTTTTTCCGTTTCTACAATATTTTCCTATAAAAAATAAATTGATTCATATGAAATTTTCCTATACAATTCTTGTGAAATCCATGCGTTCCAAAGGGCCCTTAATAACATCTTTGTTTAAAAAACATATAACTTGAGAGCAATGGTATATGCTCTTTCAGAGAATAGCATATGGTATATATGTCCTTATATCTGTAGTGCTTCTCTATCTACTGTTTTTCATGGCCTACTTAAACAGTACAATAGTGCAAATAAGTTGTTCAGAACAAGAGGTGCCAAGAGAGTCACATGTGCATGCGTTTGCATGGTGGAATTAACATGTTTAGATAACTCTTGCTTGCTTGCTTGCGCATGTGTACGTACCTGAGTATCTTGAAGCATTGGCGGTGAGAAATTATGTTCCTGACAGCGGTACAACGAGTCAACAATTGCAACACCTTTTCCGGCACTGCTGATGCGTGGTCAGTCCTGTTCCTGTGTGCTCAACAAATTAACAGCGCTCTTATCAATTTCATGAAGCCCACAGTAGTACATAGTAGTAGTACATTGCTATATAAACTGTGAGTTGGACTGTTAGTCATGTAATCCGTGGTCAGAGATGCAGGTTAACAGTCTCAACAAGCTGCACACAGACCATAATAAGTATATATATAGCACATGTTATTATATATATCTCGGCGCTTTTTTTTGCAGATGAGAAATTGCAGTTTAAGGCCTTGTTTGGATGCGCCATGTGTATCCACCTCAATCCACATGTGTTGGAGTGGAATGGAATGGAATTTAATTTAATTCCACCTCAATCCACTTCAATACACGTGGATTGAGATGAATATATACGCATCAAACAAAGCCTAAGTATAGACATAAACATAATAGTATAACACACATGTTAATACTATCGGTAGCATACGTGCATTTTTTTTTCGCTGATAACGAGTAGTATTATATTTATTTGACCCATCACTGCATGCAGCAAGTTTATACTTTGGATTCTAACACTTGCATGCATTGCGGTCGCAGACATGCACGAACTATCTTCCATATTTCCTTGTAGCCTTGCTCCGTGCTGTTTACTGTTGATCTGTATATATGTACAGTGAAGGCTCTGGGGTTTCTGCGCGGCTCTAGCGTATATACCGGAACATGCCCGGCTTGATTTGTCCCTACCATGCCAGGCCTCCGATCCGGTACACAGAGATGAACAGGAAGCCGTACACCACCACAGGTCAACAACAACCTGGAGCACTGTCTCGCTGTTTCTCGACCGGCCGATCCATATTTGCATGCATGATCACTGACATATATAACCAAGAGTCGCAGAAGGCCAGAACAACGAAGCCAAGACAGCAGCACTGTCGCTAGGCCTCCATGTCTGTCTATATGCATCTGCGCCAGCCATCGATCCCCTGTGCATCCTGATCTATAGCACATAATAGCCACCTTCTTTGCTTCGACAAACGTATGGTGTTGTTTGACTTATCATGGACTCTTTGTTTTTGATCTTAGACTTATCATGGACTCGGTTAGCTCAATTAGCTTCTAAGTAATGATGAAGTTGATCATTAGGAGCTCTCCACATATACCATCCAGCTGAATCATCGACCATATATATATATAGCTGCCGTTGAGCTCTGAGGTAGACGGGTGGATTATTGACCATGATCATCGCATCAGGTGAACAGTACTGATCAGGAGAGAGAAGCAGATCGATAGGGTGACAGGGATGGAGAGCACATCTATCAGCGGCACGGAGCGCGATGATGGCTGGAGCTACGGATGCGGACGCGGACAAGCAGAAGGGTGCGTGGATGCGTGACGACACGCGGAAGAGGTCGGCAGGGGGACATATCGGCTACAGCGAGAGCACTGGTTGTCGCTCAGTCCATGCCTGGGATAACTACTACTCCTACTCCGGGTTCTATAAGAAAATTAGGGGGTGGAGATGGATAGAGAACTGGCGTATGGTCTGGAGAGAGAGGGCGTGCACATACATATGCTTGCACAGGAGAGAGGGAAGGTATGCAGGCATATATATCTTTTTTCTCTACTGTATATATAGTATTGAATGCTGGTCAGCTCAAGAAAAAGTTAGATGATGGATTTTGTTTTATGAGTAAAAAAACAGGTGATTAGTTGATATCAGTCGGTTAACTGATAATTCCTGGCATGTTTCTCTTTGTGTTTGTGAATGAAAACTGCCTGCCCTGAAGATGATTTAGATAGCCTGTGCAGAATGGTTTTGCCATTTACTTCCCTACTGCCACACAATGCAGACTTGAATCTAGACATGTTCCTCTAAAGAAAACTAGTTAATACTAATCCATAATATTGGGATAGACAAATGGCTTTTTTTAGACTTAACGTATTCACCGGCCAATCAATTAACCTGCCGATTTATTCTACTTGTATTATAAAGAGGCCGGGGCCTAGACATTTATTATACCTGGCCCTTTGTGTCCTAGGTTAAACCAACTCAACATGCAGCCAGAGTTAACTATACAACGGGCCCATTTCCTGCCTCTAAACATTCTTTGGATGGGTATCTTTGGCTAACTCGTGGATAAGGTTATCGCCGTGTTCGCTGGTCTGAAATAATCAGACCAGCCTGCTGGTTGCCACTCATTTTACTGTTCATAAAAACTAGCCAAACAGTGTTTTTCTCTCACAAAACCAGCCAGTTTCAGCCAAGTTTAAGACCAGCGAACGGGGCTTATGGTTACACTGGAAACTGGATAAACTTAGATGCACGATACATCTTGTTTTATTTAGAACACACAAATACTGTAGTAGATTTGATTCTTAAGCACTTACTTTGGATTTGGATCAGACGTGAACCCTAGCTAGGCACGGGAAGCATATATTATACCACGTGCTAGCTAGTATAATATTGCTTTGAATGGAATCCATCTTATTCTTATATATTATATATATTATCATCTAGCTAGAGTGTTTGTATGTTCGGCTTACTCCAAGAGCCATTTGTATTCTTTTTTTTCAATAAAAGAGTGAACACATTCCACCCGTTTTTAACCAAGCAGTTAGGACAATTATATTGCTACATGTCAGTGGTCTTAAGGTCATCTCATGCAATGCCACATAAGATTTTTTATGATGTGGAGAGGAGAGAAAAAAGGTTAAAGAAAATAAATATATAGGTCATGGTTTCATGAAGCAACCTAGTGAGTAAGAATTTAGGACTATGAGACATTTTTCACCATTATGTGGGACAAATGAAGGATCGATGATTGAATTATGTGGGACAACATAAAAGACAACATATGGGGTGTTTGGGACTGTTACACAAACTCTGCTCCACAAAAACTTGAAGTTTGTGGAGCACCCCTTTAGGTGCTCTCATAACTCCACATTTTTTCTTCGAACAGAGTAAGTGGAGTTGAAACCATTTGGCTAAAAAACGTGGAGCGGAGCAGTCCCAAACACCCTCTACATGTCTTGTGGTTAAGTGACTATATGAATCGTCTATATATATATGTACTTGCCCTTAGGCCTTATGTTATTTACAAATGGTAAAAAAAACTGCCATGTGACGTGATTTATTTGTGGAGAAAATAATGTCAAGCATTTTTTAAAAACAAAGAAAAGAATGCCGAACACAATCACATTTCATGCACATAGTGTCTCACAAGCTGTATACTAGTAATAGATAAATTCAATAAGGATGTGATTTGACTAAGGTTAGAAAAGTATGTAAGCACTTTCACTCTTTTTTTTAAGTATACTTTCATTCTTACACTAGAGAGTTTGTAATGCCTATATGCATTGCCTTTTTAAACAGTTAGTAAATTTGAACTAGGGAACAAACTGAGAGACGGTCAAATCAATGTTATCTTTTGGTCAGCCAGCAGCAGAGGCGACTGTATAACCATGGGATAACAGTAAAAACAGCAAACAGATAAGTAAGCGATGAAGGTGACACATGCAGACAGACCTCGGGGGAATGGGTGGAGGAGGTGACGGTGCTGCCGCCAGTGGAGCTGTTGCTGCTGGCGCACAGAGGAAGTGAGCAGCGGAAGTAGTCGCCGTAGCAGGCGGCGCAGAGCCCGCCGATGGAGAGCTGCAGATCCCAACCACTACCACCCCACCTCCTGCTGCTTCTGCCGCCGCCGCCTCCTTCCCTGTCGCCGTAGTCCTCTGCACCGGCGGCAACGCCACGCCTGTGAACACAATGTTCCAACGATCGGTCATTGCACGCCCCGCCCGGCATGAAATAGCTAGGACTACGAAGTCCATGATCCACGCTAGCTAGCTTTGCGTGGATACATATATATACCTGTAGCTATGTGCAACGATCTGTCTGTGCTCTTTACTGTCCTGTACATCTGCAAACCAAGGGGATGACAGCGGTTAGTTGCGTGGTGTTCTCTTTTTTTTTTTGAGGAATTTGCGTGATGTTCTTGTGGCATGATGCATGATCTGGTTAGTTTTTTCTGTCGGTGCGAAGGTGCACGGTGAAAGACTGAAAGAATCATGTGTCTTGTTTTTGTGACTTGTCGTTCCATTGCGGCCAAGCTACCTAGATGCCGTTTGTTTGTCACCTAGCACTTGACCAAGATTCACCAGGGACAAATTAGTTTACCAATAGTAAGAACACCCCAAAAAGTGGTGGAAAAAACAAAAAGGAGCCATCATGCACCAAGATTCACCGTGTTTTTTTTTCTTTAGTTGTGTATGGCATGGTAGCTTCTTCCCTTGTATGAAATTATATGATATGGATGATGTATCCCTTCATTTTTTTTCTTGCTTTCTTCTGCACGTACCTGAAGGTGGCTCTTGACATGCGCGAGCGTTAGATCCTTGACGTTCATCAGCTCCAGCACCGACTTCGGCGTCGCTCCTGCCGGCAGTCAGCGACGGGCGACCGCCACAAGAACGGATCGCGCGCGCGCGCCAGCAGAAAAGATCGTCAGAGAATTGAGCATAAACAATAAGCTTGTGCAGAAGGGAAGGGGAATGCAAGCATATCGGATCATGCCCAGTGTTTAGCACAGCGCACGTGAACGATATATATATATGCTTACTCTCATGGCCGCCGAGGAGCTCGACGGCGTGCACGAAGCGCGCGTGGAGCGCGGTGGTCCAGCGCATCCGCGGCGCCCGGGCGCTTCGCTTCGATCCGGCGGGCAGGGAATCCCTGGCGGCCGCGCGCTTGAACGCGCACCCCTGCGGCTGGAGGTGGTGGCCTTGCCGTCCGGCAGCGTCGTCGCAACGCGCCGGCGTGGCGAGCCCCAGGCTGAGGCCCGGGGGCTCCGCGCCGGGGCTAGGGTTTGCAAAGAACCCTACCTCGCCGCTTCCTTCAGCGTACGTCGCCGTGCTAATTGGTTCTGTCGGCGGAGCCTTCGCCACCGCAGGCGCGTCAGATGCAGCGGCCGACGAGGCGGCTGGCGGGCTTATCTGGAGGGAGAGATTCGGTAGGTTCCTTTGCAGCATTGGGAGATCAAGCAAATGGAAAGTCACAGCGTTGCAGGTGTTGTTCCACGATCAAATGGAGCACGGACACCAAGTTCCTAGCTAGTAATCGATCCTACTTCTTGTTGTGATCGATCGAGTCATATACTTGTCGAATCAAGCGGAGTCCATGGAGGGGAGGATCGGTAGCTATATCAGCGGTGGTCCGGCTGGTGATCAAAGATGAGGAAAGAAGATAGTAGAGAGAGAAAGCCAGAAAGGAAAGGAGATGAGGAGATGGCAAAGTCAGGACAGTGGTACAGTCACTGAGAAAGAGAAAGAGAGAGGAGTGCGGATGGTGGGTTTGAGCAAAGTGGCAGTGAAAGGAGAGAGAGAGAGAGGGGGGGGGGGGAAGGAGAGGCTTGGAGCCTGGGGCGTAGTGATGAGGGGCAAAAGAAGATGTGGTGATTAGGTCATGATTATGATTTGGTACCATGCTTAAACAAGGGTGTAAACTTTGGAGGGCAGGGTGTATAAACTGAGGGTGTTTAGTTCTAAAATTTTTTGGTACTTTCTTGGGAATGCTGCTTAAACAAGGGTGCAATTAGTTTTTTTTCATCTACATTTAAACTTTGGAGGGCAGGGTGCAAAAAAATTTTGGAACTGGGGAAACTAAACGGGGCCTGAAAGTACTGGTGCTTGAAGGCTACATGTACTCTTCCTGACCTGCATGTGCAATCTGACAAGTGAACGTATGTACTGTAGCGATATGTGGGTGGTCATTTGAATGTTCAAAACGTAGCATGATGTTTCAGGTGGATGAAGTACTTTATTTATACTCTATCAGTTGACTATACGAAGTCGGGAAAGAATGAGTCTTCTTCCTGGAAAATAACTAGAAAACAACTGTCTGTATGTACTCTCTATATATTTCAAATTAATTCACTTCAATTTTATTCTAAGTCATTTTTTTTCTAGTTTTGATCAAACCTTTTCAAAATATTAACATCAAAAACTTCAAACAAATACACTATGAAGACATATTTCATTAAAAATTTTAATAAAATGATTATCATGTAGTAGATGCTAAAGTGAACACCTTTTCGTGGAAGGCTAGAAACAGATTATTTGGTGCTGCAACCAATGATCAACTATTCAAAAGAAATGTTTGTTCAAATACTATCTTCGCGTCTAAAAAAATCCCTGTGAGAAGACGCAATATGTTTTCGTGCTAGGTCGTTCCATAGGCTTGCAAACACAACCTGCTACCCTACAACTTCCTCTCTTTCAAATTATAAGGCGTTCTATTTTTTTTTAGGTACATAGCAAAAGTTATGCATCTAGAAAAGATAGAAAGACTCATAATTTGGCATGGAGGGAATAGTTATCATAGCTCAAGTAGCATCACACGTCCAAAAAAAGCAGGCATGTTACCATGTAGGATTAAAAAACACCACTTTTATCAATTTTGTCCTATATTATACGTGTAACCATCTAAGTAACATTCAACGAGATGCACACGGTCGCGGGAATGTGTCTTGGGTACTTGATGGCACGTCCTCAAGAATCGGCATTTGGGATGTTTCACGGCCTGCACACCTCTTCACTTTAATCATTCCCTTGTTACAAATTATGTCACTTATTCATTATATCTTCTATCTTAGGTTATTTTAGATTGAGCTCCATCAAGGTTACACTTGCGCACCTTGTATATTGCTACATTTCCCTGTCTAATTTTTCCATCTTCTGAGAAAAATTCCAGTGATGCCCTTTACAAGTGTCCCTGAATGTTGGTTGTCTCTATGTTTTTCATAAGTAACGACTTCCTGACATGACTAGAGATGTTAATGGGTATATGGTGCACCCGCCTATTAGGATTAGCTATATGGGGCATTTGTGACTTTCTAGTAGATTCTTCTGTGACTCAAAACAATATCCTAAAATACCCATGCATTTCGCAAAATAAAAAGAAAAACAAGAAGCGCATAAAACGAAAAACAAGAAGCGCAATCTTGGTAATTTCTTCTGTCATAATTAGATCACGTCTTCTATACAAAACATCATCAAACTAATTATGGTCTGAGGGAGTGATTTGGCCACATAATTACAATAACTAAGTTGTTGTTCATTTACGATTGTTAGGGTCTATTTTGTTTCTCACCAGACAACCTTGCCTCGCACATGGAGCATCCCCAAGTGCTTGATTTTGAACGTCTGGGGATAAGATTGATGCCTAGTTGGTTGCTTGCTTATGAGGCATCCAACCAAATAAACCTTAGATCTTGTTTTGACTTTTATTTTTTCATGATTACTTATTGTTTTGGACATCAACTGCTAAACTTTCTTCACCGCATGTTACTCCTTCCGTTATAAAATGTAAGTCGCTCATTTTGTTAAGCATTTAGATATACATTTTGTCTAAATACATAATAAAAGCTGCTAAAAAAGCAAGAACGACTTACAATTTGAAACAGAGGGAGTCGAATATCAATCAAAGTAGTAACAACGAGGATGCTATTTTGATGCCAAAAATTTGCAAAAAGTAAAGTATTTTTCATATGCTGGAAATAAATATTGCTTTTTGTACACTACTGGTCAAAGTTGAGGCTGCATGCCATATAGGTATGCAGTATGCTAGGTGCTACAAGCTACTAGGACAATACTCCTAAAACGCACACAATAATAGAGAGGTGCGTGTGCTGGTCTGCTGGAAAACTCATACCATGGTTTTCACAGTCCTGCCAGTATATATTTAGTGTGGTTTTGGTGATCATGGCTGGTCTATGGGGCTATCAGATGTGCTTATTTAGCTGAAGCCCAACACAGTGGATATGAAGACGAGTGATTTTAGAGAATGTTCAACCAAGATGGCCGGTCTTATGGATCTGCTGGGAACTGGGGAGGGGAGGGATCGGAGCCAAATAATCAGGGGCAGTGAATAAACATGGTAGGGTCTGACAACAATCCAAGCCAACCAGGGCTACCCATGGTGCTGCAAAGATAGGTCACCTTTTGATCTGATCATCTGAAGGATCTGCAGCCGCGCGCAGTGCCAGTGCAGTGCAGGGACCGATGCAATGCAACACAGGTGTAAAACCGGCTGATGGCCTCTTTGGGGCTGCACATTTTCAGCAAAGCAGAGGTATAATGCCCCCGGGCGAGGGCGCTGGGGATCTTCCCATATTCATGAAAGGGAAGGAAATTAATAAAAGGGGCTCGATCGCGAGCCCGCCCGTCCGTCCGTCCGTCCGCCGTGGGACGCCGCTGCTGGCTGCTGCACGGCGGCCGGGCGTGACAATGAATGTGGCGGAATGCGACAACACGATATGGGGCACTACTGCCGCGGCTGCACCGCTGGTGCGAGCGCGAGAGCGACACGGGAGCTAGCTGTTTCAGACAGTGCTAGATAGCTATGCATCAGGAATCAGGATGATGAGGGGTAGCTATCCTTCCTTCGCATATACATGCATGCATGCACAGTGATGATTCGATGGTTTGATTACTGGTGGAACGAACTGTGAAACATGCATGCATGCATGCATGCATCATGCAACATTTGTAGAGAACGAATCTGAACACAGCCCGATAATTGCTGCACGCATCTATCTGTCAACGTACGTGCCTGAAGGTATCAATCATAGCCGACGAGCGAGCAATACAATCCACAGAAGCTAGCATGCCGACCGAATCAGCACGCACGTGTGGCGGTCACGTGATGAGCGCAAGGCCCGGGTCGATACTATACTACGGCCGATCGATCGCCCAGGAGAGAGCGGCATAAACAAAAAGAGAGCTAGCTAGGGGGGCAAAAGTACGGCTCCTACATTCCGATCTCGTCGTCGTCTTCACATAATTGCCCAATGAACTGAGAGCGCCCCCCGGAAAGCAACAGCGGATGAGAACAAGGAGGAGTCCTTTTTTGAAAGTATATAAACAAGGAGTCGTCCTGGCCTCGCGGCACAAAGGAAAATTAAGGCGCTCGCTCAGCCCGCGCCCCGTGGCGCCGGTACGGCGATCCCGACCGCCGGGCGCGCGCCGCGCTCAGCCGTAGCGCCGCGGCACGCGCGGCCGGGGAGATGCCAACAAGCGGGAGGAACTTCTCGAGGCGGCTAAACAAATGGGCAGGCCGGGGGCAAGGGAATTTTGATCCGCGTTGTTTAGCGCCCGGCCGGGTCACAGCGCCTAACGCGGCGTGTTCCTCGCAAAAGTTACGCGCGGCTTTTCGATGGCCGATGCTACTGGCCGGCCTCGACCCCGCGCGCGGGTCCCCGTGCACGCGCGTTATTGCTGGCTTGGCTTGGCTGTGCCGCATGCATGCGCCTGTGTGCGTCGTGTACGTATGTGTGTGCGTGCGTGCGTGCCCTGGTCTCTTCTTGGTCCGGGGCGCCGCGGGGTACGTCCCGCTTGCGTTTTGTTTAATCGGTGTTGCGAGTCGGTAGCCCTGTCTGCCTCCTTGCTGCGCCCGTGTCCATCGTGTGATGGTTGTGTCTAGTAGAGTACGTACGTGTACGTATAGTACTGCCAGTACGTCACGTGGTAGAGCATGTACTGTGTACGGAGTATATTCCAGCTAGTCTACGCTAGCTGTCAGCCTGTCACGGGAAATTGGTATGGTACAGTACTATGCTGTCTCCTGGAACACGTCCGTTCGTATACGTATGTCGCCAACCGGATGGATACGTTTAGTACCGGGCGTGATTGGTTGCTCCGAGGTCAGCGGTCCGGGATGGTGGCCCTGTCCAGGCTCTTCCGAGCCGGCATCAAAGCATTCATCACCCATCTTTGTTTGGTTTGGTTTAGCTTAGCTGTCCTGGATGACAATGATTGTGTTTGGTTGCCCCCGTGGATCGTTTTGCTGTATGAAGTGGTGGTAGCGTTTGTGTTTGGTTGGGTGCACGGCCTGGGGTGCGAGCACCGTGTACCGTTTTGGTGTGGTTACCACCAGCTATTGCAGAATGAAGAAGAATAGAAGGAAACATAGATAACTTTGCCTTAGTTCAACAAGCTTAGCATTGACAATGACCTTGGAGCTTCTAATGACA